CCGTAAAAAGAATGAAATCATATCCTTTGCGATATCCTGGATGGAGCCAGAGGCCTAACTAAGTGAAGTAACTCAGAAAAAGACAATCAAATATCACATGTTCTCATGTATAAGTGGGAGCTAAACAGTAGGTACACATGGACGTTAAGATGAAAATAATAAACACTAGGGACTCCAAAGAGAGAGAGTTGGGGGTGGGGGTAAAGGTTGAAAAATTATCTATTGGGTACTGTGTTCACTATTTGGCTGATGGGTATACTAGAAGCCCAACCCCCACTATTATGCACTATTATGCAATATATCTATGTAATTTTAAAATAAAATTTGAAAATATCAGTAATAAGACAGTATTCTTTGATGTGAAAATGGGCAGGTGACGTGAATAGGCAATTTCAAATGAAAAAAATTGAAGTACCGATGAAACCCATATTAAAAATTCAACCTCATTGTTCAGTTCCCACCTGTGAGTGAGAACATTCGGTGTTTGGTTTTCTGTTCTTGCGATAGTTTGCTGAGAATGATGGTTTCCAGCTGCATCCATGTCCCTACAAAGGACACAAACTCATCCTTTTTTATGGCTGCATAGTATTCCATGGTGTATACGTGCCACATTTTCTTAATCCAGTCTGTCACTGATGGACATTTGGGTTGATTCCAAGTCTTTGCTATTGTGAATAGTGCCGCAGTGAACATACGTGTGCATGTGTCTTTATAGCAGCATGATTTATAATCCTTTGGGTATCGGGAAGGGGAACATCATACACTGGAGCCTATCATGGGGAGGGGGGAGGGGGGAGGGATTGCATTGGGAGTTATACCTGATGTAAATGACGAGTTGATGGGTGCTGATGAGTTGATGGGTGCAGCATGCCAACATGGCACAAGTATACATATGTAACAAACCTGCACGTTATGCATATGTACCCTAGAACTTAAAGTATAATAATAAAAAAAAAATTCAACCTCTCAGATAGGTAATGAATTGTAAATATAAATACCTTCGCTATACAATTGGTTATTTCTTTCTTCCTTTTTTTTTTTTTTTTTTTTTAAGATGGAGTCTTGCTTTGTTGCCAGGCTGGAGTGCAGTGGCTCAATCTTGACTCAGTGCAACCTCCGCCTCCTGGGTTCAAGCGATTCTCCTGCCTCAGCCTCCCAAGTAGCTGGGACTACAGGCGTGCACCACTACAGCCCGCTAATTTATTTTTTATTTTTAGTAGAGACGGGGTTTCACCATGTTGGCCAGGATGGTCTCTATCTCTTGACCTGTATCCTCCCGACTTGGCCTCCCAAAGTACAATTGGTTATTTCTCTAAAGTATACATATGATTCTTCTCCTAAATGAAACATAGGAGTATTGCGCTGTATAAATTTTAAGTAGTTTTTGTATGTGGTAAAGTTTCCAATTCCTTCCCCATATCTCCTTTCTGTCTCTTTCACTCCCAGAGGACCTAGATGTTTTGGATAGCAGAATCTTACATCATTTGTCACCATGACAGTTGAATGCAGGCAATAATAGATGCAAGTACAGTTACTTATTAAGCACCTTTTCCTTTTAAAGGTGAAATAGAATATCTGTAATTGTGTGTTAGAGTCTAGAAAAAGTTGGTTCAATTCAGCAGAAACACTTATTGAATGATTACTATTATGTGTCATGTGCATTGATCTGTAGTGGGGATGAAAAGATACGAAATTTGCTTTCAAGTAACTCATTAATCTTATTTGTGTCGTTATGCATTAATTTATTCTTATAGTTTTCTTTTTAAAGAGGCAGGTAATCTGTTTTCTGAAAATTTATTCCAGACCTTCATTTATTCTTTACGTACTGTACAGTTCACCCGTTTAAAATGTACAGTTCAGTGATTCACAGAGCTATGCAGCCACCATTACAACAGGCCATATTAGAATATTTTCATCATCCCCAAAATAAACTCTCTACCCATTAGCAGTCATTGCCCATTCCTCCTTTTCCCCAGTCCTTGGCAACCACTAATCTACATTTTGTCTCTGTAGTGGAATCATATATTTTTAATAAATGGAATAATATATTATTCGGTCTTTTGTGACTAGCTTCTTTCACTTAGCATGCTTTCAAAACTCATTCATGTGGTAGCATGTATTACTACTTTTCCTTTTACGGCAAATACAATTCTATTGCATGGATACGCTGTATTTTATTCATCTATTCATCAGTTAATAGGCATTTGGGTTTCTACCTCTTGTCTGTTTTGAATAATACTGCCATGAATATTCACATATATGTTTTTGTGTGAATATATGTTTCATCTCTTTTTAGCATATATATATATATATCCCTAAGAGTAGAATTGCTGGGTCATACGGTAACACTATGTTAGCCCTTTGAGGAAATGCCAGACAGTTTTCCAAAAAGGTACAGCATTTTACATTTCCAACAGCAGTGTAAAAAAATTCCAGTTTCTCCACGTCCTCATCAACACTTGATCTATCATTTTGATTATAGCCATCCTAATGGGTATAATGCAGTATCTCATTGTGGCTTTGATTTGCAATTCCCTAATGACTAAGGATAGTGAGCATGTTTTCATGTGCTTTCTTGGCCATTTGTATCAGCAATTTTGTGTCTTTCTGACCATTCTCTTGTAGTCACATCTACCTCTGACCACATCCTGGAAAGGTTCTCTACTTTAAAGGACTGGGGTCATTAAATTTTCTCACTTGGATAATTCAGGATATCTCAAGGTATTTAACCTTAATCTCATCTGTAAAGTCCCTTTTATCAAGTAAGGCAATATGTTCACAGGTTCTAGGTATTAGGCCATCTTTGGGGACCAGTTTTCTGTCTCTCACACCATATTAACAATAGTAAGTCTTTTGATCCGTAAGCATGATATCTTTTTATTTATTTAGAACATCTTTAATTTCTTCAAATGATGTTTCATATTTTTGTGTACATTATGTAATTTAAAAATTGTCCTTGAGTATTTCTTTGTGAGCAATCATAAATGGAATTATATTCTTACTTTCTTTCATTTTGTATTGTTCATTGTTATAATATAGAAATGTAATTTATTTTTGTATATTAATCTTGTATCCTGCAACCTTACAGAACTTGTTTATTGTTCTAGTAGATTTTTTATTTCTTAGAATTTTCTGTGTTCATGATCATGTCATCTATGAATAGAGATAGTTTTACTTCTTTCTTTTCAATCCACATGCGTTTTATTTCTTTTTCCTGCCTATTGTCCTGGCTAGAATTTTCAATGTATTGTTGAATCGAAGTGGTTAGAGCAGACATCCTTGTTTTGTTTCTGATGGTAGTGGGAAAGTATTTAGTCTTTCTCCATTAAGTGTGATGTTACTATAGCTTATTCATTAGTGCCCTTTATCCTGTTTAGGAAGCCCCCTTCTCTTCCTAATTTGTTGAGTGTTTGTGCCATGAAAGGGTATTGGATTTTTATCAAATGCTTTTACTGCTTCTATTGAGATGATAATGTGTTTTTTTTAATAATAGCATAATTGAGGTATAATTCACATATCTTAAAATTCACCATTTTTAAGTATACAATTCAGTGGTTTTTAATATAGTCCCATAGTGTACAACTATCACCACTATGTAATTTGAGAACATTCTCATCGCCCTCCCACAAAAAACCCTATACCCATTAGCAGTCACTCCCCATTACCTACTCCTCCTAGCCCCTGGGAATCATTAATATACTTTCTGTCTATGAATTTGCCTATTCTGGACATTTCATATAAATAGAATTTCACAATATGAAGCTTTTTGTTTGTTTGTTTGTTTGGTCTGGCTTCTTACATTTAGCATAATGTTTTCAAGATTCATTCATGTTGTAGTGTACATCAGTACTTAACTCTTCTGATTTCAGGACAGCCCTTTTCAGCTTTCTTTTCCCCTGGTTATCGCTGATAAACTAGCCGACTTACACCCTAAATTATTTTTCTCATAAAGCTCCCTGCCTCCTCTTAATTGTTTACCTCCCAAATCTCCATTTTTTAGAGTAAGGTTTTGGACTTGAATGTCCTCACACTCTGTTTCAATAAAGTCGGTTCTTTTGGGGATGGCTTGGGAGCTCTCTGTTCTTATGAATGGTCTTTATCCCTGGGCAGAATCGTTCAGCCAGTGCTTTGGGTACTGGGCAGTGACAGTAGCCACTGGTCTTCCTGCTTACCTCTTCAGGTGTGGACCTTAACCCTGCAAGTGAACTGGGCTGGGATAATCAGGGTGAGGGTGATTGGGGCCTCAGTATTCTCAGCCTTCTCTGCTTGGGGTTGAGTCTCCACCCTGTGAGTAAAGGAAGGGAGCCCTTGAACTCTTGGCTATACTCAACAGGAATTTCGCCCCTTCAACTCTGTGTTGGAAGTGATAAGAAATGCTGGCTACTTGTCTCTCCCATTGGGATACTCTATTCCTTGATTGGGAGCTGGGGGCAGAGGGAGTCCAGTTTTGGCTACCCCTCCCTGGGGAGTAGCTTCTGTCAAGGTAGACAAGGGGATGGTGAAAGGAAAGGAGTGCTTTGTGGCTCATATGCCATAGACTGTCACTGTTAGATTACTGAGTTTTAGCAGATTTTCTTGAATAAATGTTTCTTCATTTGCTATGGGCTCTTAGAACAATTTCTAGCCATTTCCAATTTAAAGAAAAAAAAAACAACTTTTTGCTGGAACTTTTTGCTGGTTATGGATTTACTTGGAACAGGTTCATGGGACTTTTTATGCTGCAGTTCTGGAAGTGGATCCCCCCTCTTAGGACTTCTTTTTCAGTAAAGTAGAATTTCTTTGTTATGATGATGCTAGAAGACTGACTATACTAAAGTAGTACCAATGAACTGTTTTTTTAATCAAGCTTTTACTCTGTCTTATTGATTAGGTTTCAGGATACCTGCTTTTCCTTGCTTTGTTTATATTTCTCCATATTGATGAACCTTGTTATAATGGTGTTTTACTTTTAAAAATTATTTTTAGTGACATATTTTTCCATTTGTTACTTTGATTTTTAGGTTTGGCTCCAGCAGCTGCTGTTGCCACCACCACTAGTTCAAGCACCATGCAGTTTACCTCAATATCAAATGCTTTGACCTCCACTGCTGCTATTGGGCTCTCATGTAAGTTACTAATTCCAAAGAAAATACTGTAATTTCTCATGAGGCCACCTTACTCAATTTGCCAGTATATACTACAGATCTCCTGTGTCTCAGAAATTATCATTATTCTTGAACCCATTTATAATTGCTGATATCAATAGTAGCTTTGCTTAAGAACCTAATTCTCATGGCTTTAGCTGTGAAATTTTTTTATGTTAACATGGTTATTATAGCTTAAAATGCTAACTTTAAGCATATAATTCATTAATATTGTGATGCTTTGAAACAACTTCTTGAAGCTATTAACAGTAGGGAGAGTGGGAGTTTTGCCAAGTATTTCTGAAGGGAAGAAGTCCTTATCCATGTGACTAAGATAAAATGGGAAATAAATGTTGGAGCCTTCCTATAGTGTGTTTTTCCATACCGACCTGGTTTGTGGTCCTTACATTTTACCTATCAGAAGTGGAACATGACAAAGGGCCAGCTGTAGTTTTGGGGTTCTAATTGACATTGTGTGATGCCTTGTGACCTCTCCTCTTGAAGAGGACCATCTATCTGGATGCTTTGAGCTGAGATGTGAGACTTTATCTTGTAACCTCAACTTCTTTGTTACACATTTTCCATTAGTATAGTAATAGCAAATGTTGGAAATATTGAATTCAGGCCAGGCTCAGTGGCTCATGCCTGTAATCCCAGCATTTTGGGAGGCCATGGCAGGTGGATTGCTCGAGCCCAGGCGTTTGAGACCAGCCTGGGCAACATGGTGAAACCCTGTCTCTACAAAAAATACAAAAATTTGCCGGACATAGTGGTGCGTGCCTGTAGTCCCGGCTACTGGGGAGGCTGAGGTGGGAGGACTGCTTGAGCCCAGGAGGTCAAGGCTGCAGTGAGCCAAGATTGCACCACTGCACTCCAGCCTGGGTGACATAGTAAGACCCTGTCAAACAAAAAAAAAGGAAAGAAAGGAAGAAAGAAAGAGAGAGAGGGAGGGAGGGAGAGAGAGAGAGAAAGAAAGAGAAAGAAAAAAGAAAGAAAGAAAAAAAGAAAGAAAGAAAGAGAAAGAAAGAAAGAAAGAGAAAGAAAGAAAGAAAGAAAGAAAGAGAGAAAGAAAGAAAGAAAAGAAAGAAAGAAAGTTGTAGGTCTTAGGCAATTTTTTCTTACAGGTCTCTATAAACTGACTTCTTTCAAAGTTTCTTCTTCACAATATCATAATGTTCATCATTAAATTTTGTTGTAATCCTAGCTGTAATAGCCCCCCTCCCCAGCTCTATGACAGTAAGATTGTCTCCATTCCTGGGAATAAAACTAGCCAGAAAATGTTTGATGCTTAATTGAGCATGAATAATGCTCAATTAACCATCACCATCCTCTTGTGCTATTGGCATAGTTAGGCATTAGTTAAGATTGGTTAGCACATGACTTATATTTTCTACCACTTAGACTTCAATTTTGAGACATGACTATGATTCTGGAACCATTTTGATATATGTAAGCAGTATCCTTCTCAACTATGATAGATTTCATGAATATGACCATGTCCAAGGTTTGGAGTTAAAATTATTGTTCAGTCAAAACTTGCTCTCTGACCTTTGACAGGTTCCCCCACTTATCTCCCTCTGATGTCCTTGTCTACAAAATGAAAATATATTGGGACCACAATATCTTTTAATTAACTTTAATGAATTATAACTTATACATCATAAAATTAACTTACTTTAAGTATGCAATCCAGAAATTTTAGTAAGTTTATCAAATTGTGTAACCATCACTGTATTTAGTTTTAGAGCATTTATATCATTCCAATAAGATCCCTCAGCCACAGACAACCACTAATCTGTTTTCCATCTCCATAGATTTGCCTTTTCTGGAAATTTCATATAAATGGATTGACCATGGTATTTTGAAGTTTAACCAAAAGTTTCTAAAGGACTCTTCAGATGAAAAAGACTATATAAATTTCTCACTGTTTTTGATTTAAAGGGTAATAGTTAATATTATGTTGTTCTCTACTGTTGGTGCTCCAACAACTTCGGCTAGAACATTTAATATTATAACCTTGGGATTTGCATTAAAATTCCCTGGAGCAGGTGGAGCAGCTCCTACTGTAGTTAATAAAATTTTAGAAGTATCAGGATGTCTTGGGGCTCTCACTGGAAATGTGCTTTATAACAAGCAGTAAGTAAGTTCTATGGCTTTTAGGGCTAAGTGGTTTTGACCATCTCATCAGAGGATCCAAAAGGTACACTAATATGTTTATGTAGATGATTGCCAAAGAGTAGAATGAGACAGTTGATATCAATGATGTTACTTCTTTGAGATGACTACAGGCAAAACAGCTGCCAAATTCTTGCCAACCATCAAACTTAAGAATTTTTGTTCTTGATCACAGTATTTAGCTGGTTGAGATTGATAAAGTTTTCTTTTTTTCTCTAAAAGTTAATTTAAGTTTTGACCTCTATTAAAGTTGACCCTCTTCTAAAGTTGATTACAGGAGTTTCTCTAGACCTATTCTAAATTTGTTTCTGCCAGTTAGGAGCTAGTTAGGTTGTAGGTGGAAGAAGACTTGGTTATCCATTGCCCCATAGCTATTGTGAGCTGGGTGATAAGGGGTCTTCTACCTAAACCTGTCTTTTAAGTTATACTCCATTTTGGAGCAGTCTTATTTGTTTTTACTTTAAAAAGTTTACTTAGGGATGAAATGACTCTTTTTTAATCTGGCTTAAACTAAAAGTCAATCCCTTTTAAGCTTAAAATAATTATTCCTAAACAGACATGTATATCATCCCTCTCTTTTTTTTTAAGATACAGTCTCACTTTGTCACCCAGGTTAGAGTGCAGTGGCGTGATTATAGCTGACTGCAGCCTAATCTCCTGGATTTATGTGATCCTCCCACCTCAGCCTTCTGAGTACCTGGGACTGCAGGCATGCACCACCATGACCAACTAATTTTTTTTTTTTTTTTTTTTTTGGTAGAGATGGGGTTTCTCCATGTTGGTCAGGCTAGTCTTGAACTCTCAACCTCAGGTGATCCACCAGCCTCGGCCTCTCAAAGTGCTGGGATTGCAGGCATGAGCCACCGCTCCCGGCCCAATTGTTTTTATTTTTATTAGAACTGATAAACAAATTCAGTAAATTTGCAGGATACAAAATC